TGCCTGTGAAGAATCTGGTACCAGGGGTGCCAGTTCCAGAGGGGGTACCTCCTGTGGAGGAGGTGGATGGGGGGAGGAAAAATTAAGTCTTCTTCTGTGCTGCCCTGTAAGACAGGGTACAATGATAGTACTGATGGTTTTGTTTCAGGTTTAGGTGTTTTCTAGGTTGTTGTTTTCCATTCTGTGGCCGTCAGCACTTCAGTTTTCTGTAAAGGAAGAAAAAACTTGACCCAAGGAGGGGGGTTATTAACTAAATCTCCCCAGACCATTATGTATGATATTTGATCCAAGTGTCCCATATGTGGTTGAAGAATAATTTTCTCAACTGCGTTAATGACAGCAGGATCAAAGGTCCCCTCCAAGGGCCATCCCACATTGAAAGTGGGCCATTCAAGACCTGCAGAAAGTAATTAGTTTATCCTTCCTGACAACAACAGAGAGGTTATGGGCTCAAGCCTTAACCTCTCCAAAATGTGCAAGAACTAGGTCCAGGGGTGTAGAGGGAGTCTGTCCCATTGCGTCTGTCTCAGTCACAGAGAAATAGACAAGCAAAGACAAAACAAAGAGCCAGAAAGATACACAGAAGGCCAAGTAACAAATTCCCCCGCTCACAGGGAAGAAAAACTGAAAGTAGAACAGCAGTGAACTGCCGTGCCACGGGAGCAACCCACCTTGTCCTTTCACAGAAATCAACAGAGTCTGGGGCCCTCCATCACCTCTACCAAGGTCTGGAACGTCTTCCAGACCTCTGTGGTCACAGTCAACTAATGTGTCTGCTCCAACCGCTCCTGACCACACTGTTCACAGGTTTACCTCGAGGCTCAGAACAAAAGCTAAGACACAGACAGGTACAACTAGGAACAAACAGACACCAGCTGGCCAAGAAACCTCCAGTTGTGGGGTCCCTGGGGGGGGTGGTCTTGGGGATCCCGGACAAGCCCCCAAGATGGAGTCACTCAGGTCTCTCAATCCCTTCATGCTTTCAACACCAGAACCATGCAGGAGACTCTTACTACCAAGTCCTGCTTCCTGCTAGAGATAGAGGCTCAGGTCCCCTCTGTGTGCTGACCCTGAGGAAATACCTCCTAGAAGACTTCACCTCAGTGATGCTGGTATCTTGTTACTTACAGCTGATTTTTCAGCCACAACTAACCAGCATCAATTGTTCCAGTAAAGCAAAGGTTTTGCTTCAGGTCCTGGTCTCTTCTTAATCACAGCTGATTCTTTAGCCCCAGCTGACCAGAACCCACAGATTCTCAATCCAAAATCTCACAGGAACAGCCCTGATAGTCTCCCTTTCCCTTTGAAGCTTCACAAGCCAGACCTCCATCATCCACAACTCTTTCTTCATAACTGTTCCAAGCTCCACAGCAACAAACCCTGAGCATGCAATGGCTTTTACAGCTCAGAGTTCTAAACACTTCCACAGTCCTCCCCAAAACACCAAGGTCAGGTCTGTCACAGCAATATCCCACTCTCTGGTACCAATTTCTGTCCTAGTTTGTTTCTCCATTGCTGTGACAAAACACTCTGACCACTACCAACTTGGGGAGGAAAGGGTTTATTTGTCTTACATCTCCCAGGTTACAGTTTATCAGGGAGCCCAATGTAGGAACTCAGGGCAGGAACCTGGAGTCAGGAGCTGGAGCACAGGCCATGGAGGATTACTGCTTACTGGCTTGCTCCCCTGGCCCCTGCTCAGCCTGCTTTCTTATGCAACACAGGCCCACCTGCCCAGGGATGGCACCATCCACGGTGGGCTGGACCCTCCCACATCACTCAACAATCAAGCAGGTGCCCCATGGACATGGCTACAGGCCAATCCAATGAAGGTTATTCCCCAATTGAGGCTCCCTCAACCCAGGTATGTCAAGTTGACACTAAAGCTATCCAGCACAGTGGGATTTTTAAAAATTGCTGGTTTATGATCTAGTGTTCTAGAAGGGAGAACATTCTTATCCTGTGGAGTATAAAATTCTTGGGGAAAATGTAATAGCCGTTTTTTGGTATAAATATTTTAACAAGTAAATTCATAACCTTCAAAACTAGAATGTTAATAGCTGTGCTGAGGTTCACCACATCTAAGTCCTGGTATTTACTTAGAATGAGAATTTGTGATCATTTTCATCTTTTTCTGTTACAATTAATGCTGAAAGAATATCATTTGTACACTGTTTTTGGCATTACTAAAGATTTTGAAAAAAATCTTCCATGTCTGAAGTATTAGAATCTCTTTCAAACAAAGAGAATTATGAATTTATATTCTAAAATGTAATTTCCTAATTTTAGTTTGAGAATTCAATCAGTTTAGTCATTATAGTATTTACCTAGGACCTCAGTATTAGAACTTTTTTTTTATCTTTTTGAGACAGGGTCTCCCTATAGCCCCAGCCAGCCTGGAACTTACTATGTAGACCAGGCTGGCCTCAATCTCACAGAGATCCACCTGTCTGTGCCTCCTGAGTGCTGGGAGAGTATAAAATGATCATTTTATCTCAACTCAAATATTTAAACTTATACAACTGTAGTCTTTAATTGAGTGTTCGTTTTCACTGCTAGAGATCAATGGTAGGGGCCCATGAAGGACAACCAGCCATTTGCTAATGAGCTAGATGCCCATGTGCACAAAAATGTTTTTTGATTTGCTTGTTTTTATTTTATGTGTATGAGTGTTTTGTCTGCATGTATGTAAGTGTACCACATACATGCAATGCTGGAGGAAGCCAGAAGAAGGCCTCAGATTCCCTGGATCTGGAGTTAAAGACCACTGCTAGCCACCATGTAGGTGCTGGGAACCAAACCCAGGTCCTCTGCAAAAGCAGCCAATGCTCCTAACCACTGAGCCATCTCTCCAGACCTGCACTTTTGCTTTTAACATCTATGAAATTTTTTAAAAATGGCAGTTGGTAACTAATTTATTCAACATGTCTCTTTCATATATTGATAAAATCAATTCAGATTTCCACGTTAAAGATCATACTACTCATTGCTATAGAATGATTAAGTCCTGTATCATTCACAAAAGGACTTTCAAATTTCTTAAATAATATTGAGGATCATTAAAAGTGATAGGAACAAAAAAAACAGAACAAGAGAAATCAGATGAGATTCCTTGTTCTGGTCAGACCTTGTTCTGGTCTAGTTCAGAACAGACCCATGGAGAGACCATCTGAAGTGCTCCATTACACTCATTTTTTTAGGTTTACCTGACATATTTCATGGTGATGAAATTTCACTTATAGTTAACTTTACAGGTGCTTGGAAGGGTAATAAATAGAGAAGTTGATTTATTAGTATAATAAAATCACATCATACAATGAACATTTTTCCTAAAAATGAGTTTTAATGTGTAACCGTACTAAACTTCAGATTTCCCTTAAAACAAGAAGATAAGCAGAAAGGAAATGGTGGTTTTATGTTTCAAAAACAGAAGGCACAGTTAAGAAGGAAAAAAGAGCAATATAATGAAGACATGGGAAGGAATCAACAACCTGAAATCAGGTCACTGCTTATGGAAGCAAAGGCCATAGAAAATTATTTAAGACAGGTGAATTAATTGTGGGTAAAATTTCCTATTTCTGAGTGTTTCACGGGTATTATTTAGATCACTTCAATTATATATTCACATAAATACATGTGAATAACAAAGTAATCTGAAGAAATATTACTTGCCAATTCATCATTGTGAAAACATGAACACATGCTCTTAAAACATCAGCTCATCACTTGACAATATGTTCTCTGGGACCATTGTTGTATGTTTGGTCCATTGTTGACCAAACTGTTATTATACTGTCCGCTCTCTGCCTAGATGTTAAACAAAATGCGACCTCACCCTAAAATTAATATATTCATAGCTAAGATTACATATTATAAATAATTCTAAATCTTGACATCTAATAGGTGCTCAGTATATGTTTTCTGAATGAAGGAACAGAAGGTAACTGGAGGTTAAGCAATTGTCATTAATAAGATGAATTTTAGTGTTTTGTGTTAAAAACACAGGCTATCTGTATTTGAATCTCTAATGGATCTTGTTAAACTTTTCATAAAGTAATTTTAGTTCATGATATTATCCATGCTTTTTTTCTTTGACAAACTTAGTTATCTTTCATACAATTAAAATTTAAGTGATTTGTGTCCTTGTATGTTAAAAGGTCACTTTCTTTAAAAGGTTTGTTTGGAAGTTCTGTTGTTAAGCTTTAGATATGTATAAAATCACATGTGACTGAAACCTTAGTGAACTGTATCTCCAGGTTTTTGAGGAACAAAATAGCCCTGATGGCAACTTTCTCAAGAACAAAATTCCAGAGTTTTACAAGACAGAATTGGGGCAAATCATCTTTGCAAACAAAATTTGATAGTCATTGCACAAAGGAAAGAGTTCTGAGATTTCTTTAGTTGTTTTATAATATGTATTTGTATGTATACATGAATGTATACATATTTGAAATACCATATATAATAGAAAATAAAGATAATTTTTGAACTAGAAGTTTATGCATTTATGTATTTTGGGAGTGGTAGTGACAATATTGGTCAATTAGATTGAGTAATATTTTTCCTCACCGTGTAACCAAAGCTGGCCTTGAATTCCTTATCATCCTATTTCCATTTCCAAAGATACAGTAATTCAATTCTGTTTATCTTAACATTCATAATAACCTAATCCAAAGAAAAGTATTTTGATATTTTCTATGATCTCAAACTTCTGTTGTTTTGCCAAATCCTATCCTCCCTTGGGAAACCCACAAGTGTGGGCCCTCTGAGGCCCCAGGGCTGACAAAATTGACAGAATACCTTCTATTTGGGTTTTACATAGTTTATGACATATGGGAGGGGGTGACTTACAAAGGCATGGATTCTCATAGGATTTTTCTTTTCCCATATTTGAAATGCGTGCCATCAGCACATCCTGCCTGCAGTCTCTGCCATTTCACGCTCTGTCTCCCTGCTATCTGAGCACTCTATTTTCAAAATGGTGATGACTCCACCCCTTTTTTCCACCATGCCCGGTGTTTCTCAGCATCTCTCAGTGTTGGTCTGTAGACTCCCCACACCCCATTCAGTTATAACTTTTTGGAGGGCACCTACCCAACACCTGTCTACAAACAATAGATTTTATAGTTTGGAGCAGTGATTTCACCTTCTCCATGTTTTATTGTGGAGACGTGTAAAATTTTAATACTTCAAATACTATATAAGGAGGAAAAATTTAGCCAACATTTGTTCAAGAACATTCTCTCCCTCTGAGAACACACCTCCTCTATTTCAATGTACACAGCTATTGATGTCATGACATTCCATAGCATATATTTAGCAGGTGTCCTACCACAGAGACATATCCTCAGCCCTAGATTCATACATATTTTATTAATTTCATAACAACTTGTACAGAAATTCCAGTACAATTTTATTCAAAATAGGCTTTATATTTTTTAATTATATTTTTATTAATTCTTTGAGAATTACACACATGTACACAATGTATTTTGATCATATTCACCCCTAACTCCTCTGAGATTTACCTCCTTACCCCTTACCTCCTCCCAGCTTCATGTCCTGCTTTTGTTTAGAACCTGCCAAGTCCATTTGTGCTGCCCATATCTTCCTGGGTATAGGGGCATCCACTAGAACATGGTCTGACCCATCAGGGGCCCCAGAAGCCATCAACTGTCAGTAGTTCCTTAGCTCAGGGTAGGGATCCATAAGCCTCCCTTCATCCCCATGCTAGAATATTGACTAGCCTGATCTTGTGCAGGTCTTATACAGACAACCACAGCTGCTGTGAGTTCATGAATGCAGCAGTCCTATCATGTCCAGGAGACACTGTTTTGTTCTGGTCCTCCCTGACCTCTGACATTTACAAGATTTCTACTCACTCTTATGAGAATGTTCTTGAGCCTTGGGGGGAAGGAGTGTGACACAGATGTCCCATTTGTGGCTGAGCACTCCACAGACACTAATTCTCTGTACTTAACCAGTTGTGAGCTTCTGAGTCAATGAACTGTCAACTGCATAAACTTCTTCAATGAGTTCTGAGAGCTGCACTAATCTATTTATAGTAATAATTTATAGGGCAGTTTGATACTATGTCCATTTAACAAAATAATAGTAGTAAGTTCATCTCCATGGTCTGTGAGCACCTCAGCCATGGGTTCTTGGACAGATTTATGTAGTACCAGGCATGTGTTTCCTTCTGCAGAGCAGGCCTTAAACCCAATCAAAAAGTGGTTGGTTGCCCCCATAACATCCATGCCATTATTTCACCCATAGACATAGCTTGCCATATCAGTCATTATTATAGTTCACAGGGTTCACAGCTGGGTAAAACTGTTGATAACTCCCCTCACCAGCAGTCTGTATAGCACCTTCATATGCATATATGAAGCTTGTAAAATAGTAAGCTTTCATATGACATTTTTTAAACATTCTTAGTGTCAGTTATCCCTCTCCCCACAGCCTCCTTCATCTTCCCTCCCATCCCTCTGCCTGTTATTCCCTTTCCCCATCATATCACCTGAGTTCTACTGTATCCCAACCATGAAGAGTTCTCTTCTCCTCCCCACCAATGGCTGTTTTTTAGTTTCCAGGATTCTATAAGTACTTCATATTAAACACACAAATCTAAAGATTTGTTGCTGTTGTTGTTGTTGTTTTGAGACAGGATCTCCCTATAGCCCGAGATGGCCTGAAACTGGCTCTGTACATCAGGATAACCTTGATCTCACAGAGATCCACCTGCTTTTGCCTCCCAAGTGCTGAGATTAAAGGCAAGTGCCACCACATCCATTTTATTTTTTTTTAAGGTTTATCTGTTTTGATTTGTATGTGTTTTGCTTGCCTGTATGTATGTGTCCCTGGTATGTGTGCAGTGCCTGCAGAGGCTAGAAGAGGGAAACAGAGCTGCCATGTGAGTACTAAAAATCAAATGTGGGTCCTCTGCAAGACCAGCAAGTGTTTTTAACTATCTCTCTAGCCCTTGTTGTCTTTTTTTTAATGGGGGGGGCTTAGTGTATGTATGTGCACTACATGTATTCAGGTGCCTGTGGAGGACAGAAGAAGGTACTGGGTCTTTTGGAACTGGAGTCAAAGGCAGTTATAAGCCACCTGATGTGGGTGGTGGAAACTGAACTCAGATTCTCTGCAAAAGCAACAAGTGTTCTTGTCCTAGTTTGTTCTTCATTGCTGTGACAAAATACTCTGACCAATACCAACTTGGGGAGGAAAGGGTTTATTTGTCTTACATCTCCCAGGTCACACGCAGTTCATCAGGGAACCCAAGGTAGGAACTCAGGGCAGGAACCTGGAGTCAGGAGCTGGAGCAAAGGCCATGGAGGAACTCTGCTTACTGACTTGCTCCCCTGGCCCCCACTCAGCCTGCTTTCTTATGCAACACAGGCCCACCTGCCCACGGATGGCACCACACACAGTGGGCTGGGCCCTCCCACATCACTCAACAATCAAGAAGGTGCCCCATGGACATAGCCACAGGCCAGTCCACTGAAGGCAATTCCCCAATTGAGGCTCCTGCAACCCAGGTGTGTCAAGTTGACACTAAAGCTATCCAGCACAGCTCTTAACCACTGAACCATCTCTCCAGTCCCATCTTTTATTTTCTTGATCTCAGTCATTCTGACTGGGGAAGATAAATTTGAAATTAGTCTTAATTTACATTTTCCTGATGGCTAATGATGCTCAATACTTTTTCAAATATCTTAGCATTTATATTTCTTCTGAGAATTCTCTGTTCAGTTCCACAGCCCACTTTTTAATTGGGTTGGGTTTTTTCTCTATGTTTAGTTTTAGGTTTTTTTTTTGAGTTCTCTGTATATTGTTATCACTAATCCTCTGTCAGATGCATAGCTTGTAAAGATTTTTCCCTATTCTGGAGGCTGCCTCTCCAGTCAATTAAATTTCCATTGCAGTACAGAGTTTTTTAATTTTATGAAGTTCCACTTGTTGATTGTTGGTCCTATTTTGTGGGTGACTACAGTCTTATTGAGAAAGTCCTTGCTTGAGTCTGTATCCTGAAGTGCACTCCTTGCTCTTTCTTCTGGAAGTTTCAGAATTTCAGGTCTAGTTTTGAGATCTTTGCTCCATTTGGAATTGATTTATATGCAGAGTGACAGAGAAGAATCAAGTTTCATTTTCAGTATCTAGATAGTCTTCTCAGCACGATTTGTTTAAAATGCTGCCTTTTCTCCAATGTACATTTTTGGTATCTTTGTCAAAAATCAGGTGGCTGTAGGTATCTGAACTAATATACCTAGGTCTTCTGTTCTATTCCATTGATCAATGTGTTCATTTTTGTGCCGGCTTCTTGCTGTTTTTACTACTATGGTTCTGTAGTATAGTTTGAAATTAGGGATGGTGCTGCCTCTACCAGTGTTTTTATTGTTCAGGATTGTTTTTGCTCTCTAGGGTTTTTTTCTTTTCTGTGCTTCCATATGAAGTTTAAGATTGATTTTGCAATTTATGCAAAGCATTGGAATTTTGATAGGGATTGTATTGAATCTGTAGATTGCTTTTGGTAGAATGGCTCTT